GAGACGTCGTCAATGATAACAATAGTCCCGAGATGGAAGCAACACCCGTTTTGGGTGGCTTGCATCCTAGGACAATCTAATTGTGACATGCCAACGGATCTGTACCATCGTCCAGTGACATCAAACAAACCCAACTCCGGAAACCTCTCAACGCACGCAAACAGACAGGTCACAACCCCTCCATACCTCAGAAAAGTGCGCTAATCAATTAACCTGTAGACGACATAAGCGCCAAAAGCGAAGGAGAAATCTAGTCGCGGGAAACGAGCAGGCGCCAAGTCCTCCACACAATTGATTAGACTTTGTCCCCTTGCTTAAGCGACATTCCTAAATGTGAGGAGGATCCTCCTAGCTTGCCATGCCTCACAAACCTTCGGGACCGCCGTTGATGCTCGGGGCCGCCGTTAGAACTGCCACTTGGGTAAACTCTCCCGTCCGTACCTGAAAACCAACTCTGGTCAGCCGGACTCGACCGAGCAAGGAAAGCCCGTCAGCGAAGAAGAGGAGATTAAGCGAGGGTTTCACAAGTTTCCATCCCACACATACATGGGCATACTGTACTTTACCTACCTACGTGTGGAATGTACTTCCGGACTGTCCGAAATGAACCATCGGGCCACACGTACACATCACACAATCAGAGCCGAACCTTCCCTAACAAGAACAATAAGAAAGACCCCCACACGCCAGGATGTAAGAGTATGGATTTGTGTGGGTCAAAAGGAGAGAGGGGAGTAAGGGGCGGGGCGCAAAAGAATCCACCGGAGGAAGAGAAAATCCCTTCTAGCGTATTCCAGAAGCCTTCTAGAATGCTTCTAGTGTTGACCCCCCATTTGGAAGACCTGACATCACCTGATACTTGATTTCTGGTTCCCCATCAGCCGATGTATATTAACTCATTTTGCTCAACCATGGATACGGAGTCAAGCTAGTCTCCAATATATGATATCATGGCGCCTGTATCACACCCCCCCCCCAAAGGGATGGCTTTTCCCAACCCAAGGATTCCATGATTCTTCCATTTGGTTTCTACGCGATCGGCCGCCACCTGGTCCGATCTTCGTCCGTTTTTTATTCTCGCTCTTCTTTTTCCGTTTCCCGTCGCCCCCCCCTTCCCACCCCTTTCCTTCCTTTCTGTCTGGAACTCTGGATGGGGCCGATGGAATACAAATCGGACGATTTTTCTCTGGGACCGGTGTGTGTGTTTCATGGAGCTTTGCCTGGATTGGGAAAGGACACGTTGTTGACGGATGAGACGGGGGAAAATGCGTTCGTCGATCGAAGTGAAATTGGATTGAGTTTGGGTCAAGTCCACACAGGTTTGTGTCTGCACTATAATGAATTGGGCGGTTAGCTGCGTAATAACTGTAAGTCTGTACTTTCGATCTACACATCGTAAATAAATTAAGGCATTCTCCTTGCCTACAAGAATGATTGGAGGGAGTGCTGCGAGCTACCGTCTGCCTCTGGACCCGATGTCTCGCGATAGTGAGACCACGGAGTCACCTCATGAAGTCGGTGTATGTTGTCAGGTGAGGTGGTTGGATTAGGATTTGAAGCTGTTGGAACTAGCATCGCCCAATCTCTCATACCCTCCGTCCGATATAGTTCGCGAACGAGCAGGGATTGGTATCTATTCTAGGAACTTGGCTTAATCCCAATCCTTCGGGGCCTTGTTCCCGAAACAAAAAAAGCAAGAACTGGCAAACCATTCGATGTCGTCCAATTGGGACCGTGCATCCTCTTGACTCTGTTGGTTCAGTTCATGAGAAGGGACTACTAAGTACCCCTGTGTTCAGTATAGCCCCGTCAGGTTGGTGGTAGAGCCGTCGCATGTTTACAATTTTGAGTCTGTTCCATAGGGGGTGGGCTTCAACCGCTATGTTTCGCCAGTTGATATCAAATACGGGCTGGCCGGCAGTAACCCGGACAAAGTCTAATATAGGATCATCACTGGCCCGAAGGCGGGTTTTTCCGCCTCGCGCCCGTTCGCTTTCCCACCCAGATCTCAGAGGTACGGATTTGGCTTCCTCAAACACTCCGTAGATCTGGGTAGTACCGGAGTTGGACTCTACCTCCCAGCGAAAAAGTAGATTGTACCTCGGCATTTCAATCAAGGGGCGAGTAAGTTATTGCCATTGCCGTAGCCTGCGTGGTGCGTACCTTATCTTGCGGCGTCGTCGTCCTCTACACGGCGGACCATGAAGTAAAAGGAAAACACACCCCCATCTAGGCCCTCCATCAGTGTATGGAGGAAAACATTTCCACCAGAGCCAAGACATTTGTAATCTATGACATAACAACAAACCATACACACTCGTACTACTCGTATGAGTTTGCATTTATGATTCAGGTCTTACCTGGAGAACACAGGGTGTGCAGTGTGGTTCCTTTCTTTTTCGTCATTCTTCAACCTGCCCACCACGTGGCACCCGCATCATCCAATTTTTTTTTTCTTCAGTCATCTTTTTTTGTGTCTGGTAAAGATTTGAGCCTCGACACTCCACCTACCATATCCCGCGATATGATTGTCGGTAAAAGAAAAAGAAAAAAATGGAAGGAAAGAAAGAAATCGAGTGGATACCTTTTCCCATCTTACCAAAAACAACTGTTTATCAAAGCTAATCCCGACAGAGTTTAACCACCCCCACTAACTGCCAAGGTCCAGAGAGCAAAATCTGGGGATCCACTTCGCTCTCTCCCCCACCCCGCCCAATCCAGATTTTTCCTTGACCGCTTCTCTTTTTCCGTTCTCAGTCTTTTGCCCCGTGCGGCGTTGGTGTTGGGGCGAATGGACGATTATCGACTCTGATTTTTGACCGCTCTCTTTGGGGTCTTAGAACCTCTGTTGGTTTTCTGCGGGCAACTAGTTTAGTGCACAAAGAAAAGAAAATGTGGATCGTTTCGCTCTAGCTCGGATGTATTTAGGCTGTATCCATCTGCTTCGATATCTGGGTAATCTGAGCCGAAGTGAGATAGATACTGAGTATAACGTCGATATCATTTGCAGCTGAGGAGCCTAGGGTTTGGTAGTCCTGCTCGATTCGGATGTTGGTGTCACCTCCTTCACCGTTCCACGGATTCGAAATCAGGTACAGACATCATTCGATTTCCTTGTTGGTGCCAGACTGTAACCGAGTTCAGCTCCGATTGACATACAACATCTCTCTTTTAAGGTATTCGGTAGAGCATTGATTTAAGCAGGTCCCACATTTTCCCATGCGATTGACAGCGCAACTACCGCCGTCGCAATTTGATCATACATAGAATGCAGTATGGCACTATCGCAGCCCAGCCAACTAGCTTCCCTATTTGCTCCATACCAACTAAACAACATCTTCTGCAACCACCTGGGACTACAAGTCTAGCACATACTCCACCCATTGGCAGGGATGCTATATCCCCCTCCCAGTGACCCAGTCGTCTTCAACCCTCAAGGCCCGTGTCGTAGTCCTGTCGATCCTCGATCACCCTCCAATACGAAAAGAAGCAGACTAGGAAAAGTAATCAACAAACAGCAAGCACCCGCTAGAACAGAAAGTCTAAATCTGGTCCGTTGTTAGCTACGGTCTACCGAGAGCCTGACACCCCCCCCCAAACCTACTGACTCCAAGAAACGCATGTCTTCTACATGTCTAGCCAACCAGCTTCAACAATAATTCCTCAACATCAAAAGCTGAGTCCTATATACACAGCTAGCCAAAACCAAAACCAAAACCAGAGACAGGGGATCAAGCACCTTGACGGGCCTGAGTAATCAGTTGAGGCTTAGACTCTTCAATCAATAATCCCTGTCCTCCTGTCCTACCCTACCGGTAGTACGTACTAGCACTAGGTAAATACAGTTAGCCCTAGCCTGAACCAAGTGCCGGGATTCATGCCCGGCTACTGGGGAGGAAGATGGGGGGGGAGGCTCTCGGAAAGTCGCATTGCATTAACAGCTCGGCGCCTGTCGCGGGATTTAGTCTAACTGTCTTAAGGAGGAGACGTAGGCCCGGGGGACTTGAAGCTAAAAAGGTAAAAAAGCCAAAAACCCCTCTACCCTAGGAAGTCAAGCCGGTCGATCGGTATCATATCTCCCATGGGCCAAGGGAAGGGCTACAGGGCCAGAGGGCTAGAAGTCAGGGGAGAGTTGCAGGGGAGATGAGGATCATCACACGATTTGATCCTGCGTTCTCTGCAGGTTTCAATGTCAGTTGGAATGCAAAAGCAATCCATGATCCCATGAAGGCGGGTTCGGAATCGATACCTATGGTGGGGAGAAAAAGAGACAGCATGACTACCGCATCCGTATGTTTCTGTCTGTCGCACAGAATGAGCATGAAGCATAGAACGAAGACACGTCAAGCAAGGGAGAAAAGGGGTGACCAATCACCAATCCTTGTGTGCAGTTTGTTTATCTTTTTTACTTCTTACTGAACCTAGCCATGTGGCAAATCTGACCTGTCAACCAACCCGCTGGCTACCAGTTGTTTGACAGACTGACGGCCAAGAGCCAAGCCACTCGGTTACCATCCTGGCGACAGGATGGTTTGCACTTTGGCTGGGGGATCCTCTAGAACTCTCCCCTTTTGCCTTTGCTTTGCCTCCTTCTTCCTCCCCTGTCTAGTGTCGAAGAGCTAGAAGCGAAAGTAGAATGAGTCGTGTCAAGGATAGAGACGGGAGAGAGATACGCACAGATCCCTTACAAACCTAACTTCAAACACTATTTTCCAAAGCTACACCCCCATTCCTAATTCTGACTGGCCGCGGCGTATAAACCCGGAGCTCTTGTTTTTATTTTCTACGTTTTAATTGATTTAATCATCGTTCTCCGATTTTGACTCAAATGCCAGCCACATGGCAAACCTAACTGACTCTTGGGTCCTTGGCCCCCGGGCCCTGATGGTTATTGGCTGCCTTGAAACTAAGAAAGGTTAGAAACAAGACGGACAGCAATTGAGAGATAAGTTCAAGAGGCATGAGAGACAAGAGAGGGTCTTGCAAGTTACAAGTACCTACTCATAGCAACAGCAGGTTTCCAGCAATTTTTTACTTTTCTACTTCGGGCAATCCCACAAACCCCAACGCCACGTACGTATCATCTATTCGAATCAAACAAACAGACAAAACCCAGCCCAACCCCGTGACATCCATACCTGCACGCACGACGGAGCATAGAAGCCAGCCAAGATCCCCGCTAGAACCACTTTAGAACCAACTGAAACAAGCCTGAGCCTGGAGCCGGAGGTCTCTTTTCCTTCCTTCCCTCTCCCAACCACCCGGGAACGCGCGCCACCCATCCATGATTGATTCTAGGCTCAGCCTTGCCAATAGTAGGAGGGTAACTGCAGCGAGTGTCATCATCCCTGTCAGGTTCCCTTCCAAAGTTTTTTTTCTTCTTTTGGTCTTCCCGTCCTTCCTTTTTTTTTTTTTTCTTGTCTCCCGCGTGGCGGTCAGGGATCTTTCTTCTGGAGACGGCTTGTGGTGATAATGGTGGAGAAGGAGTTGATATGGGGCCGTCGGGCAAATGCAACTTGCAAGAAATGTAGTACTCCGTACTCCATATAACAGGTGGTGGTTCCATCCGTTCCGTCTGTCTCTATATGCCTTCTAGAATAATGCTATAGCTAAGGTGCGTATGCGCAGTAACTTAAGGCAAGCGGAACCGGAACCACGCATACTATGCCTACCGCCGGAACCTGCTTACGGGCTGGGGCTCGCCTTGCCCGCTGTCACTCATGCAGGAGGAAGGACCATGATCGTCCATAACGGCGAGAGTAGAAGAAAGAGAAGAAGAAGCAATCGATCCTCCTTCCTTGCTGTCTTCTTCTCCCTCTTGTTATCGAGACCCGACGAGCTGACGTGGTTCGGATGAATCCCTTTCCATGCTCCTCCGCCCCGCCTACACCGGTAGAATTGGGGATTAGCTGCATCGTTGATGGGCGAAAGAGCCAGTCGACCAGAAAATCTGATGAATCCTCGTCTCCTACCTCCTTGATACATTATTATACATAGCAACTTTCATACACTTCGTAGGGACAAAGTGATTATGTAACAGCGACAGGAAAGGGCGTGGTGGGGTGCTGGTGGGTACGCAAGTTTCAACGCTAGAATGAAAAAGCAGTTGCGGCCCAGAAAGCGCCCTTACCGCACTTTCCAGTCGGGTTCTGTTGATCCACAATTTGTCCTAGAAACTAGAGAGAAAAACCCGCCCCAGTTTTGGACCCAGTCCATCTTTTGTGTCTTCTCTTCCCAAAGCAGTAACGAGGCGATTACGCCATTCTAAGGGCCCTCGCTCATGGCTCACCGCTTCGTGAGGGAGAGGGAAATTGAGAGGAAATGTGGAGAGGGACCTCAAGACCTGGAACAGGTCACAAGATACGATAGATGATCCGACCTTGGTTATATGTACAGTACATTATAGGTAGTCAGTCCAATTCTATGCCTGTGCTCCCCGGATGATGTTTCTGAATTGTGTCCTGTAAATGGATCGGGTGTTCACAGTCGCATACACGTTACGTAGAAGGCAACCACATACATTACATAGTCCGGTTTTCTGGTTCGAAATCACATCATTTATCGGAGTCGGTGTGGTATGGGGTTATCGTTACTGCCTAATTGACTCATGACAGGGCAGTTCACATTGCTGTTGAGGAGAAGAGGCTTCTGACTTACCTGTAGCTAGCCGGCCGGGGGCTTCTGTCAGATGCGATCCTGCTGCGATCAGACCTTCCAGCTCGATATAGCTCCGTCGCATTAGCCTTCCCCAAATGAGCCTCATGTATTGGAAAGGAACAGCAGGATTTAGTCTGTGGTTTCAGCTCGTATGGACTTGGCCCAAGGCTGCGTGCCGAGTTCGTCCGAGCTGGGGTGAGATTTGCGCCCCCGGCCGGACGGTTTGAGGTATTCCAGCCTGGTGGTTAGAATAGACGAGACTACGACAGAGAGAGTGCACCACGATTGGATCAACTCTCCTTAGTGGCTTCTTAGTAGGACTCAGGATCCCGGTTATGCTGGAGGGAAAGAGTGCGTTTCCCAACAGTTCCATTGACAAGCGTGCTGTGTGTGATGGTATGGGCCGGGTAGTGGATCGGAAGAATGAACCTTTGATAACAGGATGTGATATATAACAAGGGGACGATCCTTGATATGTATGTCATAAGTTAAGTTAACTAGCTGTACGTACTCCCGTTGACAGATGCGATGGGGAACAAGAACGTACGACACTGGAGTCGCGGCGCTAAGGTGAGCTTCTGCGGACCGGCTGGATGCCTGTATGTAATACGGGTGGATAGTAAGTATGTACTCCGTAAAAGCAATCTGAACGGGTGCCCGGTTGACAGAAAGGGCTACGCCAATGATTGTAAGAGGACAATCACGGCAATTGCCTGAGAATTGAGGATTCAGAGCATCGATGATCAAGTATCGTAAGTTGAATGCCCGTTGTTTATTAATCGCAATTCAGCTTCACGAAGAGACCAATCAGCGGGCGACAACAGCCAAGCCCGTCTGAGCAACACACACTAAACCCAACCCAGCCGCCAGCTCTTCTCCACGTGTGTCCACGTGGAACCAACATGGGTCTCGGCTAGGACACCAAAGAAGAAGAAGACTCTTGGAAGAGTCATGGAAGAGCGGGAGACACCCATCAAACCATCATAGGCAACGAGGAGCATCATCATTCGATGTTAGATAATCCCAGAGATCCTGGCGGGATCGTGAATACGAGCGTCGAGCCAGCTGGCCGGACACAGCCACACGGGAAGAAACCCTTCTCCACTGTCTGTTGCTCGTTTCCTTTTGATTTGATCTGGTTGACCACAGAAACACAGATTATCATTGAGGCAGATTCGGCGTGAAATCGATTCCATCCGATCACGCTTTGTCGCCTCGAGATACACTTCTCACATGCAGCACATCAAATAGTGAGGAGGAGCCACAGAACTTTAGCCCGCGTACTGTACATGGTGATGGATCACATCCCCCCAGATAAGGAATTGTTGGCCTGAGGCTCCACTAAACACACAAGTATTGATCGGCATCAGGGAAAGTGCTTGGTTCGCTTGGTCCTGTTCAAGACAACAAGGTTTGGGCTTGAGCGGATACCCACGTGGGAATGGAGAGCATCTTACGAAGCAGAGGACCAACAGTTCTGTGAGGTGCCCCTACAGCTCTGATAGCGCTGTCAACAGGATAAATAAACATCAATGGATCACCATCCACGAGGATCATAACAGAGTCATTGGAGCCAATATAAAGGGAGGAGGGAAAGAGTAGAGATAAGAAGCCTAGAGGGTGGAGGCGCGGACGGAAGGAGGAGATCAGCCCAAATTCAACCACCCCCAAAAGGCACTGCAACGACGGCAAGAACACTTCCTCGACTGCTAGTATTCTACCTATCTTGGTAATTTGTCCATGGCCCAAAATCATGCCAAGCCGAGTAGCTGGATGGGTCGTGGTCTGGTTTGGGGGTGGGGAAATACCGACAAGGTACTCCGTATATACGCATGAGTATTCTGTCTGTATGTGGTAGGGTATGTAATCCTCACTCATTATTCATTCTTAGCAGCAACAGCAGCAGGTGCAGTCAGTGGCTTCTAGCAACGTACTGTTCGGTCCTAGTGGCACACTAGTCTATAGTGGGCAAGAGTTCTACTGCGAGTGTTCGTGACGAGCCGCTCTGAATGGCTGCTATCGCCTGGGGGATTTCCCGGCTCGAAGCTAATGACTCAATAAATGACGATCGATACTGGATTCTGCCGTAATGGCTGTACAGGGCAGTACTGTACCTACCCAGAGAGTAATCCTTCAGAACCACCCGAAAGGGAAGGCAAACGGAGTTGAAGCCCCCCCCCCTCCGCTGATGATGCATCTACATCAACCATCTTCGCGCAGTAGTTGTGATACAGTTTGTGGATAGGTACATCACCCGAAGTGTATGATGGAGGGAAACATATCAGCCTGTTCTCAGGCTGCAACGCAAAGAAGACAGCTCCCGTTCTAGGTTGAGTTAGGAAACCATCCAGGCGAGGCCCGGGAAATTGATCTCATCGAGACTCCTCGTCATATGATAAGAGATACCACGGAAGTTTGATGACGATCGGTAGGGCGCCAGCAATTAGGAGGAATCTTGCATCTATTAGTATCTACACCAGTATATGTGCATGCATATCCTCGTTGACACCTACTGATCGATCTGAAGCCAATTGTCCCCGGAATTAGTGTACATGCCTGGGACTCTCAGAAACTGGGGATATCTATGTGAAACCGATGATCATCCGACGTTGCTTCCCAGCGCTTGAGCTGAAGGTCGAAAGGCGGGTAGCGGGTATTCGAACTGTATGGTACGTGACTGGTAACTTAATTGCTGGGAGAGGGTCATCCATGAGCTGGCCATCATACGGACGGAGGACTCCGACTCCGATTGACTGTCTCTCATGGCCCCGAGGGGAGGGGAAGCATTCAAGGATCCTCCTTGCAGCAGTGTCATCACCACCACCATTTGGAGTGATAATGAGGAATGGGAACCGGGGTAACAAACCCTGCGCAGTCTCTTTGCCATCTAATTATTCCATTGCTAGCTGTGTCTGTAATGAAGCATAAAAAAATACCACAGCAGTAAGCAATCGGTGGTATTGCTTTTTCCGGCGACTGCCGTCACAGCGGGTAGGTAAGGTATGTGAAAGACTGGTACTGGACGGGTTCAGGACGACGGACTCTGCAGGGAAGGGCGGCGGAGGAGGTGGACTGGCTGGCTCACTTTCTGATCGCCCCAAAGGACGATCCATCCACCTTTGCCCTTGGCCCACGTTGTCTGGTGCATGAAACCGTCCGCGTGCACAGTGGGTCAAAGACTGACAGGCCTGATTCTTCACACCCCTGGGCCTGGGGTCCTTCTTGCCCATTCTTCTCTTGCGTGCGCCATCTCGCTATTCTTCTGCTGCTGTTGCTGCGCTGCTAAGGTTACAACTACCAACTACTAACTAAAGTACGTACTGTAGTTAACTACTTACCTTAGCAGTTACTAACTCCTTACTACTTCCTACTAACTACGCTTACTCTCACTTTTACTCTTTTACCCTTCTTCTTCCCTGTTTTCTCTGCTCACTTCTTTACTCTTCTTCTCCTCCTCTCTCTTTGAACTGTAAGGGACCTATCAGTCACATTCACTTTTTTCCTTGTACTCCTTTCCCACTTTGAAAAGTGAGTAATGTTTTGACTGCTGGTACTGATACCTGCCTAAAAGCCAAGCCATTGATTTCCTAAAAGAATCGAAAAGATCAGAAACAAGAAAAAAGAAAAGATCTTGAAATTTATCTTTCGAAGATTTGGCATTTTTGTTTCATGAATTTATTTAAAAAAAAATCTCCTTGGAGAAAATAATAATATTCTGTTTTCTCTTCCTTATTCAGAAGAGAAGCCACACCCACACCCCTCCACCTTTTCTTTCCTCACTCACACACACACACTTCTTCTCTCCCACCCTCCCCCCTTCTTTTTGCCCTTGACCCTCTTTTTTCCTCCCTTTCCTTTTCCATTCCTTTTTTCCATTCTTTTTTTTTTTGTTAATTTTTTTTCCTGATTTTTTTTTCTCTCCTGCTCCAACCTTACATAGATACATACAACCCCCTCCCCCTCTTCTTCTCCTCCCACTCGCCTGGTTCGCACTATTCAATGCCAACCATATCCTCCGTCCCTTTCAACCAAGGCTCTCCTCCTCCTTCCTCACACCTTCATTACCCTCAGCCTTCCCGATCTTCTGCCGTACCTATTCCGGTTCCCTCCTCCCCGGACCACAATCGCACTTCCTCCTTTACTTCTGCTGCTTCTGCTGCTGCTCTTCAGAACTCCGCGCCCGCCGCAGTTCCCGCCCATTCCCATTCCGCCACCACAACCACCAGCACAACTTCCTCCGCCGCTGCCTCGTCTTCCGTCACCAACCCCTTCTCAACAGGTTTCACTGGCTCGGTAATCGGATCAATTTCTCGTCGCAATCGTCGCTCATTTGCTGCGTTGGCCCGAGAGAAGACTTCCAGTGCTCTCGCCAATTTATCTGCCATCGGAGGCCCCAATTATCCGCTTAGGCCTTCTGCATCTTCTGGAAGTCTTTCCAAGCACTCGCGCAAGGCTTCGCAGGTCAGCATCAGTGAACTGCCTGGTGCTACACCTTTGACCCCGCCATTGTCGGATAGCAGTGCTAGCAGCGAACAATCCAGCCCTGCGCCCATTGATTCCGTCACCAACCGCGTTTTCCCCGCTGTGACTGATCAGGCGACGACTTCCGTCGATAGACGACGTCACACTATCCAGCGTATCCCTTCCCCCCTCCAGCAATTACCGGAGATTGAAAGTCCCGAACCTCCCGCCAAAATGCATCAGACATCTTCGAGACTGTTGCGTATGACGGAGGATGATCGTCCGTTCACCAAGGTAAGCTTTCTTGCAGAATGCGCGCTAAGTGGTTGACAGAGCGTTCAAGCAATTGACCAAGAGATTAACCGGCAATCTTTGCAGGATTTCATGGACTTGTTCTCGACCCTGATGGTCAGTTTGAAGTTGGATTCGCATCGGGTACGATTCACCAAATATGATCACTCGTTTACTTCAGAAGAGGCCATCAACAACCTGGGATCTCTCAAATTTTCCCAATCCAACCGCATGCCAGACCCCAAGGACCCCTCCCGTATCGTGACTACCACCACAACCACCACATTCTCCATGGCAAAGGAAATGGCTCGCTCAGTATGTCAGCGCTTCGTGGACGCTCGCTTCATTGAGTCTGTAGACGGAAAGGCATCGCAGTTGTTCCCTCTCAAGGGCGCATTGTACCAGCTCACACCCAAGGGCATCAACATCCTCCAGAGATTCTGTCAGCGCAATGGTATCACTGCGCGCCATGTGATCGATGTTCTGGAATCGCCGCGCAACACAATGCAACTTGTCAACCTGGAGCGCGATTCCGAGACCGACAAGCTGTCCCACGATCGAGCGACCATCGAAGTGATTTTCCGCCGGTTCGCTGGGCAGGATGGCCCTAATGTCAAGAGCAGCATTTCGACCTCCGATTCCGATTCATTGAGTGACTATTCGAACGGATTGGTGGGCGTGAAGATGGCCAAGGAGCGCAAGATCAAGGACAAGATTGTTTCCAACACTTTTACAGGAAAGGCAGCGGTCGACTGGTTGATGGATTGTTCGACGACAATTGAGCGTCGGGAAACCGTCCTCATTGCCGAGCTTTTCGTCAAGTACGGTTTAATCATGATGCTGCAAGAAGACCAGTTCATCACTCTGCCCGACGACTCGATAGCCACTTTTCAACCTTCCAAGAATGCCATCTATGGAATCACCGAACGGGGTCAGAGGGTATGTGGCTGGATTGCACGGGACAAGGCTCGTGACACTTCGATGTACGACAGTCGGGGTATCCCACGAGACTCGAACAACGCCCGGTTGAACCACATTCTACACGATCCAGCTCTACGACTCCTTTTCCGCGAATTCCTGCGCTTTTCACTCTGCGAAGAAAACCTGTCTTTCTACCTCGACGTGTCCGAGTTTACGTCGGCTTACCACAAGGCGGAGAAGGTCGGCACATTCCGGAGGCCGGACTCGGTACGGGAGACTTTGGCTGCGGCATACGGTAAGCTATTTCTCGGAGACAGGTCTTTCTTGATTGATGATACTAATCTGTGCAGGTCTGTACAACGCGTTCTTGGCCCCTGGCTCGCCTTGTGAGCTGAACATTGATCACGCCCTGCGCAACAGCCTTGCCAGCCGCATGACCAAGGCCGTGGGTGACGACGAGTCCATGCTCAAGAGTCTTCAAGAGGTGGTACATTTGTTCGAAATGGCTCAAACGTCGGTTTTCAAGTTGATGTCAAGTGTAAGTTCACACCGGAAACGATACTTATTCTTCACCAATCAATTCTAACATTCCGTAGGACTCGGTTCCCAAGTTCCTTCGCGATCCCAAGTGTGCTAGTATCCTTCAGGAGCACGATGTGGACTTGATTGGTGCCCCGCGGTCTTACTCTCCAACTCCGGCTCCGGTACCGGAGCGTTCGGCAAGCCGCTCGGCGCGCCCATGAGTCGAACCTTGAAAATGGACCAACGTGGGGCTACACTAATCACTACCTCATCATTGGGATCAACACCAGCTTGTATTGGAATATCTCCAAGCGAGGAATCCACCGAGACCTTGAAGTCTAGTGTGCTCCGAGACACCGCCAGACCTTATGAATTCTGAGTCGGCGCGGTCTAGCGCGACGTTGACCGACCAGCAAAAGTGACTCCTGTTGTACTTGGGGTCTGCTTCCGAACATTTGACTTGACACGACATGATTACACGTTATGCGTCTCCGACTTTTCTTTACTTCACTGCATGAGAGCCTGTGTCCAATTCAGAATGGACGTGGAGAGTTCTTCTTTGGCAACCAGATCACTCGAAATGATTCGTTCATCACGAACGATGAGTGGAAAAAAATGTTTTTACGATCAATGGATCATGTGATAGATGCTGGGACCCGAATTTCTGTTCTCTTAATCAAATTTCCTTTGTCTTTGTTTCCTTTACCCCTTTTTATGTTTTTTTTTCTGTCGGACTTGAAGAAGGGAAGGCTGAAACACACCGCTAGTATTCCAGCATTCCAGCATTAGAGAGGCGTTTTTTACCCCCATATTTCTTCTTTTCTCAGGCATCGATGCATTTTCGTGCACACTTCTTTTTCTACTTGGTGATAAATCTGATTGATTGACTGACTTATTGATTTATGTGTGTGTATGCCGCCATATGTCCTTTTCCCTTTACTTTGATAATTTGTGCAGTTGAGTTTGACTTGACCTATTTTTTGCCTGCATCATCGATAGCATATCTGATCTGCATTTTCATGGGTTAACTTTTTGTTTTCTGCGCCATATCCAGCGAGTGAGTTATGTGTGTGTATGTACATGTGTGCCATGTTCTGATTCAAGTCTGGGCCTGAGACCCAAGAACTTCTATTGAATAACAATTCATTACTATTTATTCTTGATTTTTCTTGTAGTTCACCTTGCGCTCCTCGATATGAACCCATAATAATTCAAGAATCATTCTAAGATGAAATCATTCGTGAGCATCACCAACCGTTATGAACAACCACCCTCGTCAAAGTAAAGAAGAACCAACAGTAAGAACCAACGGTAGCACACCCATTCCCCTCCAACGCGGAACCGACATCCATGTAGGATAAAGGAATAAGGCGATGGCGATGGGAGGGAAAAGAAGGACGTTGGAAGAAAACCAAGTACCGCACATACATCCATGAATAAAAGCAACAAACACCACATGCCACATGGCCAGCACGTGGTTTTCCTCTGCACGAGGGTGCAGGGGGAGGGGAGGGAAGGGGGGGGGGGGACCGCACAAGGCAGGGGGACGCACAGGGGGGCGTGACCGATTCACCTCTTTGAATATTAGTACAGTACTTTGTTTTGGTTCGGTTATGGTTGTGGTTGTACCCTCTTTCTGCGCCTTCACATGACCCTCCGCGACGATGATGATATTTGGTTTTCTTTGAGGGGAGATGGTGCTACCTTACCGACATTGTATACTGGCGCTGGGACACGGACATGAGTCAACCATTTTAGTTGATCAGAGGTTGGAGGGGGGGAATCGTCACCTTTGTGCAAGAGGCGAGGCGCCTGCTTAGTCAGCTATCCCATCCCGTGTTATGCTCGCTTACGCTGCTGCTCTGCTGTGCCGAGGGGTAACTAAAACTAAGTGTGTCTTCCCTTGACAGGCGGGGGGAGAGACCCATGGTGAGGTGTTTGTTGCGTGAGAAGTGTCACGGAGCGCAATGTGTACTGACTTCTGCCGCAGAGCTCAAGGGGGTATGGTATACCCATACCCTTGGTGGATTTGGGAGGAATGGTCTGAGATCAGAGGGTGGGAGTATGTATGAGAGAGACAGACCCCCTTGACTTCGCAAATTCAAATTCGATGATCGAGAATCGGGGATTGTACTCGCCGTACTCGACAGAAACCCTTCAGATATCATGATCTGGGCGGTGACAAACTTGTGTGCTCCATGCTGGGATCTGGGGTCGGATAGATGTCTAGTGCCACCGGGCAGCGTGGGATAGCATAGAATCCCTGAGTTTCTATTCATGCTGAAATGTAAACAGGTAAGGTAGGGTGAAGGGTACAGTAACAGCACAGTCAATGTCCAGAAGACTGACTACAGGAAACCAGGAAGTTGGGGTCGCGAGCCAGAAAACAACAAGAAACGCCCCAAGCCCAAAAAGTAGATATTACCATTACGCCCTTCGTAGCATAATCCCAAGAATAGAAATAGTATCAGAGCTGGCAGATGAGAAAAGGGGGGGGGAGGGAAGAATACGGGTGTATGTATACACATCATCCAAGAAATTTGGATGTTGAAGGAGAGTGGAGGGGGAGTAGGTTGGGTGGATTTGTTTCAGATGGAGTTCTCTCGGTGAGGGTGGTGGTGGTGATGTGTGTTTGTGTGTGACAGGTGGCTGGATGGACGGCTTGTATAGATGAAGAGATGGCTGGAGACTTGACTCATGACTCGAGTCAGTGACTGGACTGAACTCACAGGGTTGGAGGATCTCCTTCAACCCGAGACATCATCAGACAACTCCTCCAAAACGAGTCAAGAGGAACAGGGTGAAACGTCCTTGGTTTCAAGATATCATTCTTCGCGCCTGTTCATCAGTCCATCAGTCCACCGATCCATCGGCGCAACTGCCCACCCCACACCAGCACATCCCACAATCGAGGGAACCCCCCTGAAGAAGATCGAGTGAAGATAATGTTCACTGACAGAACAACCGCCCCTCCCCCAAGCATATCCAGAAAGATACAACCGGCTACTTCAGGTTTACTTGCCCGCCCAGCCTCTCAGTCGCATGCCTTCCTCAATTGCGGACCAAATGCCCTCGACGACCTCGCGATCTCTCCACCGCCCGGACCCGTTCACCCCGCCCTTCTCGTCCCATCTCTCGACCGAGAAGCTCTGGACCCCACGACCCCAATTGCGGACCTCGCGCGGACTGTCCTCCCCGCGCCAGCCCACATAGACACCCGTGGCGTGTTTGAACAGCTCGGGCGGAGAAGACCACTTGTAAGATTTGAACTGCCAGGTTTGACCCGTGGTGAAGACGGCCACCAGGCGGTTCCAGTAATCCGGCCGGAAGTTGGCGGTGCTGTCCACCAGGATGAAGCGAGTGGGCTTGCGAGAGCCGGAGGAGGACGCGCTGGACCTGGAGTGAGGGAGAGGGGTATTAGAGGAGCTGCCTTGGATGCGCAGGGGTCGATTGATATAGAGAATGTTGCTGTTCGTCCCCGTCGCCAGCGTGGGGTGATCGGGCGGAATGAAGACGCCCTCCTCGAGGAATGAGCGCACATTGGACATGCGGATAAGAGACGATGCGGAAGGCGACAGCAGGATGATCGGATCCTGCGTCTTGGAGCTGCTCTTGCTGCTTCGGGGTTGCGAGAGACCGGCGGACGGCGCGGGCACCGGCACCATAGAAGAAGAGGAGGAGGAGGTCGGCTTGCTGCCAGGCTTGGTGACACCCGCGGGATATTGACCCGTTCGTGACGACCGGTTCCGACCCAAGATGGTTTCTGCGGTTTTGCGCACATGGGAAAAGTCCTGAACCCCCAAGAATGATTAGCATCTTATACGTAAACCCACCCACAGGGGACCTTCAGAGGGATTGAAACTCACCGTCGGCTTAATCCCCCTCAACACACTATTCCGATCCCCCATCTTCCTCTCCCCATTGTAAATCTCCTGTAGCCTCGGATCAATCACCTTGGCCGCCCGACTACCGTGCTGCTGAGCACCCCCGGACGCCGCAGCCGCAGCAGCCCCTCCCGTCGCACCAGCACCGCTCCCACTCGGCACCGTAGCAACACCCCCGGCCGCCCCCGAAGCAATATTGGCCGACGCCTGAGCCTGCGCACCAACGCTACTCTCCACGCCCGCAGCGGCAGCGGCAGCTGTAGCAGCAGCCATTGCCACGGCCGCGGCCGCCTTGGCAGCGGCCTCGCCTTCGAGAGGCTTGATGTACTCACTATCCTCGGACGCGCCCTCCAGCCACGTCAGGAGATCGAGTCGCTCGACGAACACCAGATTCTGGACCTTTTCTTCAGGCTGCTCGGGGTCATCCTTCCGCTTCTCCTTGAGGGCCTGGTTCAGCCCCTCCGCTTCGGCGATATACTCCGGGATCGCAACGTCCTTCTTCAGCCACGCGAAGAAGATACTGCGCAGGTCGACGGCCTCGCCTGTCGTGCTGGAGACGAAGCGCGTCGGGGTGTTGAGGGGGATGGTCTGGGGGCTGCTGCTGCTGCTGCTGCTCGGGGTATGCGGGAAGTACAGGTGGGTGGCTTTGGCGAGATCGAGGTCGGTTTCGGTGTCGGTGGGTGGGTGGGTCGGGGAGGAGGTTGTCGGTCGTGGGGGGTTGTTGGAGAGGAGGGATTGGCGGAGGGCGAGAAGGGGGTCTATGCTGGGTGATGAATTGGTGGCCATCGTGGGTGTCGGTCTCCCAATGGTCCTTCCGGGGAGTGTGATTTGTGGTGTGGTGTGTAGTGGTGTGTAGTTTATGAGGTCAAGAGGATGGGCGAGGTTAGCTGGAATTCACCGCAATATTGGAGCGAAGACCAGAGTTCCGAGTCAGGATTGAGGGAGATTGTCACCGCTCGGGGTGCTTGGGGAATTGAGGAGAAGAGGAAAAGGGGAGGTGTTACAGGGCAGCTTGGTGGTTGCAGGAAGCTTCAGTTGAGAGCGACTTCCTCGATGCGCGCGCGGACCACGTGATTTTATCCCCGGAAGTTGGTTGGGGCCTGGCCAACTGGCAGGCCCACTGCTGTCTCTCACTTTGTGAAGTATGAGTTACTCAGACTCTAGGTAGGTACAGTTTCATTTCCAAAACATAAACTAAGGTACTCAAGACTGCATATCACTCCCGAGTTTCCTCATCCAGCTCCAAAACCAGCTCCAACCTCCCAACAGAGCAGTGACTCCTGTGAACAAAATCACTGCTCCGTAATCAGTCGCATACCCCGTGCTCACTCCACCATGAACACTAGCAACAGGACCTCTCTGCATCAACTTCTCACTGAGCGGCCCGCTGATCACACTCCCAATCCCCCTACCCCCGGCCAAAAGCCCAAAGACCAGCCCCGTCTCCAACGAGGGCATCTCCCGCTTAATCTTCGCCAGGACTCCGGACCAGGTGGAACTGAACCCTCCGGCAAAGAAGCCGTAGGTGATCGAGAAAACCGTCAACAGGGCGAGCGCTGTAGGAGCCTGCAGATGCTCGGAGGAAGAAGACAGGTGGTTTGTGGCAGTGGCAGAAAGTCCCCAGAATAACAACACCGATAGCCCCGAGCCCATCGACGACAGCAGCATGATGTTGGAGACGGCGAAGCGGTCGCACATGGAGCCTAGAACGATGCCTCCAACGATGGAGGTGGCATTGAACAGAGCCAGAAGGAAGGTTCCGGTCGTTTCAGATAGCCCGGCTGCCGTTGTCGAGTAAGATGGGAGGTAGGTACTCGGGAGAAAGTATCCAAGACTCTGGATGATGTTTCCGAGCTCCAGTGTCCAGAACGTGAGCAACTTTAGGAACGCGAGGTTGAGAGGCTGAGGCGACGTGGACACCGCGGGAGGAACTCGGGGCTTGATGAAGGGAAGTGCTATCGAAGTCGTGAAAAGCTGTATCATGTTAGGTCAGACTAGGGCCTCAGAATTAGCATGGTTGGTGTTCTCCCCACCGTGATAACTGTCCAGGCTCGTAAGGTGGTTCTCGCTCCGTATCGATCCAGTGCAGCGCTTGTCAAGAAGGGCAAAGCCACGCCGCAGACGCTTTTGCCGGCCCACATGATGCCATATGCAAGGCCCTTGCGGCGAATGAACCACTGGTCGAGAAGGAGCGTTGTTGGGCTGAAGACGAGGCCGTTCCCCAGTCCACAGAGGATGCCTTGGGTGGCTATCAATTGCCAGACAGTATGGGCGAAGGATGACAGTAACGACCCTCCGACGCTGAGAACCAGGCCAACCGGAGCACAGTATCTCTGCATATGAGGGTAGCGGGTCAGGAGGGTAAAACTGATAGGCGATAACAGGTAAAGAATTCCCTACGCGACATCTTCATCAGGCGGTTCCATGGGTGATGCTGAGGGTTATACTCCTACCGTCGATGTGGTTCTCACAATCGCCAAACCTCCAGTGCCTCCTTCAAGTTCATCGTGAGTTTTGAAATATTCTTGGAAAAGACCGGAGACAAGGGAGAACCCTGCAGCAGAGAGCTCAGTAAACAGCTTCTTCCCATTCGAGAACGAAGCATACCCCACACTGGAAGTTGGATAAGACAGCAGGATGCTAGGGTCAGCCATGCTCCTCTGCCTTGGTCGACCGGTGGCAGCAACGGTTGTTCAAGTTCCATCGAAGCCCTCGATCGAATCTGATCGATAGAAGGTCTTCGATGTGATCGGGATTGAACATTCTCCAGTGTGTAGGAAGCCATGGAAATCAGGATGGAGCGAAGTTGGGGTAAATGACAAGGAAGTGAGGGAAGGAAAGGAAAGCAGAGGAATATACCCCGCAATGCTATCAATGAGGATCTGCAACAACAAACTTCATATACAAGACTCGTGACTCATTATTAATTCATGCAGGTTGGCTGCAATTAAGCAAAGAGACCCAACATCCATTGAAAGGAAATGCGCCTAAATCACCACACACAAGAGCCAAACCATCCACACCCTAAAAAAAACCTCCTCCATCACAGTCAATCGCAGCAGTCACAGCGGAATCCCCAACGTCTCCTTGATGTCCTCCCCTCTCAGCCACTTTTCCATGGCCTCGTACATGCCGCGGAACTTCTCATTATCCTCCATCGTCGGCAAGTCCAGCTTGATCTTATGGCCCAGCCGGGCCTGCGCCGCGCCCAGATACCGATACCCATAAGGGTACGGCGCCAATTCCTCCGCCGAAAATTCGGGGACATTCTTGCCGTCGACGGGCAGGATCTTGTCCTTCTCGTAGAACAGACGCTTGTAGTGCACCTTCCAGCCCGCCGGATCCTTCTGGCACCACATGATAAAGCGACAGTCGCATTCGACGTCACACTCCAACCCCTTGAAGTCGAAGCGCTGGGTGATGGTGGCCTTCATCTTGCCCACGGCGCGGCCGGTCGCCGGGTTGAGCTCGACGAGGGTGCCGTTCTCGCGGTGCATGATGTGGTCCCCATTGCGCCGGCCCTTCTTGGAGACTTCGATGAATTCATCGATGGGCATACCGCCGCTCCAGGCTACAGACCCAAGACAGATTAATTTTGCTGGACCGAACCGGAAAGGAAATGGAATGGAAGGGGGTGGAACGGACTTGTGAAGATGTACGCCTGCTCGGCGAAGCAGTTACGGTAATGGGCCCATTCGGAGGCGTCTCGATATATCGGCCAGCCTTTGAGAAGCTCGGTCACGCAGAGCCGATCGAGGATCTCGTTGGTGGTGCCATTGATGTGGCTGTGGATGGTGGGCTGGGGATCTTCGGCGGTGATGTTGACGACCATGGTGGATATATCGGTAGCTGGGGTTTTGTCTATCGCATTCGAACGATCAATCCCCAGAGATCACATCCCTATTTATGTAGATCTGCTTGTGATGGCTGTTGCCTTCTATTCTTGCCTCTCTGTCTTCCGATAAGCCTCGATTCGGCCCGCGTCATCATCTGAATCCGTCTCTTGATGTCATCCCATTGCATCAGGCAACCTCGGCCATGGTCGGTGGAGCTTGCGAGCCTGTGGTTCGCTGAGACTGTCTGGAGCCCAATTGCTGGATTACTAGGTACTGCACAGTATGGTTTTCTGAGGGTGTAGGCCGACCAATTCAGCACTTTGAGAGCGGCCATGGGGAGGCTGGCATGGAACGAACCCCGTACAATCTCTGCGATCTCAGCTTTGTATACATACGTACACTGTTAGCTTCGCCATAGACAGCGCCCATAGTCCTTGCACGATTTCTCACGAGATCGGGTCCATCCTCAGATATCATTCTTAGCAGCCGACAGACGTCATCAACTCCTTTTCTCCTCGTGTCAATGATAAGCGGGCCATGCCTCAACAGTCTGGCCAAGGACGGGGTGTCCAGGCGGAAAAAGTTTTTGCAGGATAGTCTAGACGTAACTGTAAGAGGATGGAATTAGTATTATCCGCCTCGTTGGCTGGTTGGCTGGTTGGCTGGTTGCCTGTTGCCTGGCTTCAATAATAATGAAGTGGTTGACAGGTGGATGCTCAGGAGTCGACTAGCAGGGAAAAGAGGCGATGTGCTGGAGCAAGGCAAAGGCAGCATCCACCCCGAGACCCTCAGGAACTGACCAAGCATATCTCGTACTGATAACTACAATAGCAACAACATGTGAAAGCAATCAAAGACGCTCTCATTCCTCATTAGCAACCCCAATTAAGAGTCGTCAGTCCCAATGTCCTGGGCACAAGTATTCCTAATAATAAAAGAGGAGAAAAAAAAAGATAAGAAGAGTGAAGAAAAAGAAATGGAAAAGAAAAGAACAAAAAGAGCAAAAAAATAGTGATAAAGACAATCGTGAAGCGAGTGCTGCAGATCATTGACCTAATAGTGTAGGTCGGCCTGAACCCATCCATGATATCCTTTGCCCATCCCAGTCCCAAAAGTATTTACCTATCCCGCTCCCATTCCAACACGCCTGATACGCCAGTTAGAAAACAGAAGGGCACCCATAGAACGCCCAATAATCCCATCCTTTACAGGTCGAAAGAAAATAGACATAAAATCAGCAAAAAAACATGGTTGCATAGCACAGCACAGTGACCCAGACAAGTGACAGGCCTGTCATCCAATGCCAATGCCCAATCATCATTGCGTCAGTGAAGACAAGTGAGAGGCAGGTGCAGGCCCAGGATAATCTTTCATCATATCTTGGGAGCGTCGATCATCACCCTTAATTGCTTCGATTTCCCCCGGTGAATTGCTATGCATGGGCATACTAGAAGTGACCGCCGTCTTATCACGAACCACGGGTCCTGACATGGCTGGGGTTGGTGGAAGCATCCCTGTGGCCTGGAGCTGAGTTTTCTCTACCGACGGCGTTGTCTTGGTTCCACGTCGAATCATGTAGTCTCCCAGGCTGAGCTTCTTTTTTACGGGGCTGGGAGCAACCACACTCGACGAAGCAAGGGCAGGCAATGTAGGTTGGGGAGGTGCATCTCCCGAAGGAGATAATAACGCCGACACAGGTGCAGACCCAGGGCTTGGGGCAGATGCTTTAGAGGTGATGGACGTGGGAGGAAGAGGGACATGAAGTTCGGGACGACGTTGGCTGACCGTTTTCAACGGTATTCGAGCATTGTGAGCGGCTGTTGACGGCCAGGGAGGTGGTAAAGGAGGCTTGACCATGCCTCGGTCTGTTGACGAGGCCTCGAGCGGTGCGGGATAAGCTTGCGAGAGCGATGAAAGAATAGGCGAATCCATGTCCTTCATATCCGCATCGTCTTTATCGCCTGACGCACTAGGGGTCGACGCTGTAAGTGAGAGACCCCCAGGGGGGCTCAGAGATGCAGGGGGCGAGTCCAGATGTCTGACTGGTTTTACTAAAGGTGACATAGATTGGCTGCTTTTTTCGAAGCGCAGACGATCAGAATAGCATCGTTTTAACAAACGTTGAGTTAATGGTACGAAGTTAGGTCGTCGAGGCGAAGGCGAAGAAGAGAACCCGTCGAAAGGAGCTTCAGGCTCGGTTTGAATTGCCGAGTCCACGTATTGAGGGCGCCCGAGTGGAGATTGGACAGAAGGCATGCTATGGCTGTTGGACATCTTCCGTGGAGAACCATGACGTCCACTAGGCAACGGCCCAGGCAGAGTACCAGCCGGTGGGGAGTGCGATTGACGCTCGCGACCATGACTTGACTGACCACTAGCTCGCTTTTTCCTTTTGTTGGTTGCTTGCTGATCCTGCTCTAATTGCTGAAACTTCTTCTCGGCTGCCGCGATTTTCCGCTTCTCGCGGGCAGAGAGCTCGGAGTTTCCCAGCAAGTAGTTTTCGGTCGGAGTCTGTAGCGTGGGAGTCAGATCGCGACTGCGAGTCTGTCCGCGCACAGAGCCTGACGCAGATCGACTGTCGGCTTGATCATCCTCATCTATAGCCTTGGTCGTTTCACTCCCAGCGCGACTGTTAGCGGTGGGGGAAATGGTTGGTTTTGTCCTAGGTCTCTTCCGTTTGAGGCCTGCCTGTTTCATGTTGGCGTCCAATAATCTGGGGTGTCGCCGGCGATCTACGCTGGCCAGCAAGCAGTTCGAGGATGGAACGCAAGCGCAGCCGCCAAAATGGGCGAGAACATTGCTAATGCAGATGGCGGCATTGTCTTGGACATTATCACTCGGTTCTTGCTTGACTAAACCATTGCTTGATTCGAACAGCTGAGGATCCAGATACCACATGGCAGTAATCTCGGCATCAGGGGCAATATCTTCTTTTGCAACAAAGCAGAAGTGATATTCTACCTGGTTCGTAATGTAAGTCTTCATCGTCACATTCGGACGGCAAGACCGCCGCACGTAGCGGAGAACACTTCCTTCATGGCGACTGTCGATATAGATCGGGAGCTGCGGATGAAAGAAGACAAAAGGCTCCGGATGACGGAGCTCCTGCCAGCGATTACTGGGATCAAGACAGTAATCCCGCAGCAGACCAATCTTACCTGTGATTTCCCCAACGATTTCGTCCTTTCCTACACGATCTTTGGTCTTGAGCACTTTCCAGGTCGGGTGTTGCCCCTCCAGTTCAATATTAGGTTCTGTGATAGACTCAGTTGACAGTGTGGGCCACCGCGACCGGTCAAGCGATGCCCCGGACCAAGTAAAGATATCCTGCGCGGACCGCCCGTTGGCAACTCGGGCCAAAGCGGTTGGTTCTGTTACCCAGGAAGCCAGATCTGCGGCCAAGGGAAGGTTGACAAACAAGTTGCTGTCCATACTCGCATAATCGTTATCATGATCATAGAGGTGCAAGAACTCGTGCGAATAGAGGGGGATGGCTGGACCAGCCGTCTTTATGGGGCTCATGGACGCTGCAGCCCGTTTCCGTGGATCAGGTGGAAAACCCGGAGCACCCGAGACAGAGCTAATGGACCCCGAAGCACGATGATTTGTCTTGACTTTCTTTGCAACGGGCTGATCGCGCACCGCGGATTCCGACCGATGGTGGAATCCATTTACCTGATCACCGTGTTCTTTGATCTTTTTCTTGTGGCTCTTGTTTCCAGATCGTTTGGTTTTCCGGTCACCGCCGTCATTCTGTTCCCTAAGACGTCTCTGCCGTTCAGTTGCACGCCGCCCATCCAGATGACGCGGCTCGCAATCGACACAGTTATGCACGTCGGGCACATCTCGACCATGGTAATAGCACTCTATATGCTGCCAAGTTTCGCACCCTTCACAGAAAACCGTGTTCCCATCGTCATCCTCAAAAGCGCAGATGCATTTGATGGTATACGGCTCCTCCTCTTCCGGGGCGATGGAGTCGGAAACGGTGCCGTTGACGCCGGGTGAGTGCAGCGGGACGGTGACCGGATAAGGGTCCGTGATGGGGTGCGTGATGGCGAGTGGGGAGGTATCTGTCATAATCCGACAGAGTACCCCCTCTCAGATTGAACAAGAGACACGCGGTGGTGGTTGTTCGGGTAGACGAACGGCTCGTAGTGGTATTGTATCACAGACCAACACGCATATCAACAACACGGACTGCTCTCCTGGCCTCAGCTATACACACACAACTATAAGCAGCAGCAGAAGGACCACTCCAAGGTGAAACCACTTGGGCGCAGAGGAACCTGTCCACGATGTCCCGATTCAACAGTAGCACGAACAACGACCCACAAAGCAGGACTCAGCTGCAAGCGACGGTAGACGATTTCGGCGCTAAAGGAGGGAAGGTAATTGGAAAGAAGGCCTCGGATCGAGTTTCGAAGGGAAAGGGTGTCGAAGAAAGCGTTAGTGATGTCGTGATTGTCGGTGGCGCGTGCGACCGTATGAACGCGAAAGGCTATCGATGATTGGGAGTCGACGACTATGGAAGGGCGGACGGATCACGAATCGCATGGAGAAGAGGCGAGAATTGGAACACACGGTCGAGAGATGGAGGCGAGGTGGTGAGGAGGTCCCGGTGAAGGTAATCGTCGTTTAGTAATAGTCGAGGGGGAGATGAGGATAAGACAAAAGGGGAGAGAAGAGTTAGTATGAAGAAGGTAATTAAGATGAGAGAAAGGTCAAAAGCAGAGTTCAGAAGGAATGAGACGGTGGATGAGTGAAAGGTAGTAGGTAAGAGGAAGGGAGATCGAGAGTGAAGAGGGAAGAGAGTGAGTGAGAGTGGATCGAGGGAGGGAGTGCAAGAGCAGCGAGCAAGAGAACGAGAGAGACACAGAGAGAGAGCGAGAGTGAGTGTGAGAGAGAGAGGCTAAAGCCACGGATGGGCCATCCAAGCGGCGCGTCGAAGACCCGGTCAGAAAAAGGAATGGCGTGGAATTTTTTCTCCCACCCGCTTCAAGGACTGGGGGTGGGAAAGTGTGTCAATGGTGACTTGGGGGGGGGGGTTGCTGGAGTAGGTGTCCTCGAACAGTGCCCTTTTTTTTTCGCTGTTCTTGCTTTTGCTTTTATTTTGATCCGCGATTTGGACCTCCTAGACTTGTCCTTTCTTAGTGTCCTTTTTTGTTGAGGGGGAGGGTCGATAATGATGGCAGACAGAAAGAGGGGGGAAGGGAAGAATTGATTTGTTAGTGATGAGTGGTGAGCATAACTTGGGTAAGGGACAGATCCGACGACGGACAGTCCGAGCAACGAACGAATTGCAAGCTGGAACGAGGGACAGGGAGGGAGGGGGGGAGGGATAGAGAAGGGGAGTTGTAGCCAAAACCCACCCATCCTTGGAGCCTTGGAGGGAAGCACAGGTTCAAGGTTGCTTGGGAGGGCGCGGCCGGAAACGAACCCACGTCGAGCCACGGGCAGACCAAGAAGCTCTCGAGTTCGAGTCTCTCTCCAGGCTGACTCTCGGCCTTTCTGCTCCCAGCCTGAGTTCTCAGGCCAAGATTCATGGTTGCCTGGAAGCGACCAAGGTGGAGAAATCCCGCTTTGTCGTTCCCGGTAGGAAAGAGTCCCACTAGTCTCAATCAGGGAAGAGACGGGTGCCGCGGGCGGGCGAGCCCCGTCTCTGACACAGCGCGGGGGGAAAGGAGGAAAATCATGTGAGAGGCAGGCAGAAAGAGGAATGGTGCCGGAGCATTGAACTCAGTAGATCAGCCCGGGAAGAGGAGAGGAGGAAGAAGGAACACGGGAAATGTGTATGATCCATATCTGAGATATGAGCAGAGAGTTCTGATGAAAGAGATGGGAAGGAGGGGGATTAGCCAGCGAGCTCGTCCGGCCATCTCTCCCACGAAATGAAGCACATAAACAAAAGGGATCTGGGCTGAAAGGGAACATATTGCGAGTGAAGGTGAAAAAGAAAAGAGGAAAGAGAGAAGGAAAGGGACGACGAAGCCCGAATGCACCTGAATGTGGATCATTTTAGCTGCTATCAACAGTAATGTCGGTCAACCTGCCCGTCGTAATTCAGGCCAACGACCGCCCTGGGACAACTCATGCATGCGTTGCCCATCATGGTTCGTGATGGGACTAAAATTGTCCCTGTAAACTGTAGACCTTGACCGGGGTGTCAACCCAGGAAGGATGAAGCTTTAGGTTGGTCAATAAGAAGAATGTGTTAGTCTTAATGGATGGTTAGCAGTAGAGCAAAGGCAAGTCATGAGCAAGACAGGATCAATCAAGTGCTTGGTCCTCAGTGCGGCAGGTGGTGGTGATGGTGGTGGTGGTGGTAAAGTTGGTACTCAAGGCGGCAAAGGGGACGAGCGGCTGCATGCTTGGTCGGGAGACCCGACCATGAACCATGGCAGGGAAGGTCCTCCTCGTAAGGGCAAGGTCAGTGAACAGAAGCAGAGATCAAAAAGCACTCCTATGTGCTAGCCTGACAGTCAATGATGAACAGGGCAGATAAATTCCCATCTATTGACAGGGCTGGGGTTGGTAGGCGTAGAGGTGTTAAAGTGAGTGAGTAGTGTGGTGATCGTAGTGGGAGAGGGCATGAGTACTTGACAAGAGCCAGGGTCCCATTCAATATTTGAATGGGCGGAAAGTCCCAGCAGCAAGGCTGTGTGGTCAGTCATAGGACTCAGGGTGGCGGTTGCAAAAAGAAAAGGGGAGAGGAAAAGGGAAGGGAAGTGCAATAATAAATGGAATGGTCTGTGAGCAGGGAAAATCGTAGGTGTGGAAAAAAATATCCTCTCATGACTGATAGATTACCCATACCCGGTGCGGTGGGTTGGTTTGCACCTGGGCTGGTATCAAGCGTTACCAGCTAGCCAGGCAGACAAGCATAGATGAGAGAAAAAGAGAGCGAGAGTGAGAGGGAGTGTGTCGGAAAGATGATTAAGATTGCTTTACACAGCCCAATTAGATCCTATAATACCTCTCTAGCCTTTGAATGTCATTGTTGAGGCATGTGCAATGGAGGTGAAGCCACTCTCTGATGGTTTGAGATAGCAGTCATGTTAGCAGACTCACAAGCTGACTGCAAAGAGGGGAGGAAGGACCTCATGACTTGCAGAATAATGCGATAGAGCAGAGCCAACTGACCTTAAAAGTAAGTCCGGAGAGCACTCAGCATCCGTAGCATCCCCGGTAAGAACAATTTCTAGCGTTGCAGTGACCATGGTGACTGAGCGGTGCTGTGTTGACAATAATTTACCAACCGTAGCGGGTAAAATACATTACCTGTAGGGGCTGACGGGTGAGTCTGTCCAGCCCGCGCGTGGCGAAACCACCGCTCCCCCAAGCTTACCCTACCGGCTTTATTGCCTCCCAACAAGCAGCTACGGACTTCCCTCTAAAGATATGATTTATCATCGGCGTCTCTGGATGTGGAAGACAAGTAGTAGATCAAGTTGGAAACTTCGATTCAAGAATACAAGTAGTACACAAAACAACCACAGGTAGTTATAGGTACTATATGACAAGCCCATTGCCCTTCTAAGAATACAAAATGAAAGAATGAATCCCAATGCCATACACAGTAGGATAAAGATAATACAAGGTATGAGGCGGAATGCCAAGTTCACCACTGCAGTAATGTCCTTCGATCAGCGTCATTGATACTCTCATGGACCCATTGTAGATCCGGCCTCGGCCTGGTGAGGAGGAGCATCCTTTCTTGACCGTGCCATCTCCCACCACACGCGCTGTCCAGATGATCGAGCAGAACCGGCGCGGGCTTTGTTCTGCGTCTGCTCGTCGGGAAGTGTGCGAAAAGAGGTGAACCCCTGCGTCAAGGAAGTCCGGAATCGATGGCTCAAGTAAAGCATCCAGAACATGGCAATGCTGGTGTATACGGGGACCGCATTGCGGATCTTCAGTCCCGACAGAGCAGGGGCTTCGTCCGCGGGTGGCGAGGGGAAGGCCATGAGGAGGCTGTTGGCAATAGGTAGCACGGCGCAACCCGCAATACCCAGGTACACCCCATAAGGTTGGATGCTGGACTGGTACACCTGCAGAAAGCCTTCGTCGGCTGTCTGTCGGCGGAATCGGATGTAGACGAGACAGGCACCGAGCCATGAGATGGAGCCAGACGTAGTGATGAAGTACAGCAATGAGTTGTGCACAGAGGAGCTGGACACCGACACCGACAGATACCCAAATACCGAGAACAAGGCGGAAGCAACAACGGCCACATACGGCACGCTCAGTCGGTTGCGGGCCGTGAACAGGGTGGGGGCATGGCCAGTCTCCGCCAAGGCACAGAGTGTGCGAGATGAATGATGGAGAAAAGAGCGTCCAGAAGCAACAGAAGAGATGCAAATCATCGCCCGAGCAAGTATAGATAGCGCGCGAATGCCAGTCTGATCGATACCAACGACGAAGGGTGAAGCTCCGGCCCCGAGGCCATCGTTCGTCAACAGAGGCTCGTCGAAGGGACTCATGAAGGTCATCATGAAGGCACTGACAGTGTAGAGCGTGAAGAGCAGAAGGCTTGAAAGCCGTGTCGACCGCAGGATGCTTGAAGGGTTCTCCACTTCACGACGCTCGACCTTCTGCACGATCAACTCCGGAACGAAGGAGAAGGCAATCACCGTGTAGAGAAGACACTGGAGGAAGCCCAGAGCGCGACCCCCGTTTCCGGGAACCAGGTACTCGCTAAACGGGCCAGGCTCATGCCAATAATGAAATCCTCGGATTGATGTGCCAGGAATACCTCGAATGGCCATGTAGATGGAGACAATCATGAATCCGACAGTGGTGAAGAGCTTCAAGCCGGTGAATATGATCTCGCTTCGCATAAATTCCCGTTCTGGAAGCATGTTGAAGAGGAAGATCGCAAGGGTGACTGCTGTGATCCGTATAGCAGCGGAGGGCGCCGGATCCCACTGACCGAGACTGACCATCGCGGTGGTAACTTCGAAAGGTACCATCATTGCCAGAGTATACCATCGTAAGTAAGCCAGGGAGAATCCGAGATGACCTGAGCTGTACTGATACCCATGGGTAATCAGGGTACCAAAGGGACGAGGCTGATGGGCTGCCACTTCAGCGACGGCGGTCGTCAGGCAATACATCAGAATGGAAAGGAAGACATATGAGCCAACGAGTGCTGCTGGACCACCGACGGCCAAGGCCTGACCGGCACCGATGAAGAGACCCGTTCCAAGAGTTGAGAGAATCATTGTGTATGGTGGGATCAATAATGATGGTGTGTATATACTGGTAAAGACTGGAAGAGAGGTATGCGTATGTATAGAAGAAGAATGCTGAAGAGGTGAAGAAGAAAAGAATTCGAGGAGGCGGGAGGTGGTTTTGAGTCGAGAGAAGAAAGGCGTTTGGCACCTTCCTCGTTCAGCGACGCCAACATACACCACCAACACGGAAAGACTGAGTCCGGACCTCGGAGATAGAAGGCAGGTACATGTGAGGTCCACGGTGCAGTGTGGGCTACAGGCTGTACGTAAGTTGCTATTACCTTCTGCGAACCTGGATCGGATGATAGAAGGAAAGTGCGTGGGAGGTGAGGTAGTCGAGGCCCAGATCCAGCTGGGCAAGTGTCAAGGAAGACCGACCACCAAGACTGCACCCGGAAAGGAATGTACTAGGTAGCGATGCATGGGTATCATTTCTACTACCTAGTAAAGGAATATAGCAGGAGTGCGAGATATTAAGCAGATATTAAGCAGATATTAAGCATATATTAAGCAGATATTAAGCAACGATCTATGGCCCCTACCAAGGTGCGATCCACACCAAACGCCTCTTGAGCATGAATAGGAAATTTGACCAGGAAGACAAAGACCTAATGGTAAAACATGGATAATAGAGAGTGCTGGAAACAAGATCATGTCCTCGCGACGCTGATATGGGTATACTTAGCGCCTGCAACCTGATAAATCTAATCGACAAATTCCAGCCAGGGAAGTAAATCACTGAGAAGCCATATCAGTTTCGGCATATTCGAGCCATTGCCCTGAAAGAGACTTCTTCCAGAAGCGCACAGCACCATCATCACCCGAGGAGATGAGGCAATCACCTAACAGATGTTAGACTTCCGGTCATAGTAACCGTGAGGGAGGGACTGTAGTACTTACCGGCGTAGGAAAAGCCCACTTGCCACACATCAAGGTGTTTGCTATCAATACAGGCGACTTCCTTGTACGAATGTTTGAAATTGGAATCATCTGTTGCCGCACGGTCGGATAGCGAGGCAGGGGCATGATTTGCCAGAGCTGATCCAATTCCCGACTGGGCTTGCGTGCGCACTGATAGCGACTGCGAAGCAGATCGAGAATGGCTGCCATTTTGTTTCTTGGTCCTGGTTTCGGACGGGAAGGTGTAGACTTCGAATACACGAATAAACCCGTCTTTGCACCCGCTTGCAACCAGATCGTATCCGCGAACCGAGCCATTGGCCCAGGAAATGTCTCGGACCAGACCACCATGGCCGCTTAGCTCGATTGCATGGTAAAAGCGTCGATTGGCATCGGTGCGGTACACTTTAACACTGTCCATAGCTGCCACCACTAGAGAAAGGCTTTTCCTGTCCCACGATGGCGAGACTGAATGGGTGATGTCCGTAGGGTCGTGGTGAAACTGGACCTTGAAGCTTGTTTCCTCCCCTCTCTGAGGCGCACTACAGACACGGAATTGATCCAAGGGCTGCCAATCGGCAAGGGTGTCCGGGCTAACAGGCTCCATGACCATTAGATAGCCGTCGCGCGTGATTACCGCGAGCCACGATTCAAGATCGATGTTGCGAAAGTCAATGGAGACGAACGGGTGGCGCTGCGGCGCTGTCATGCGAAAGATGGATCTGAAACGCCGGCCCGAGTTGAGAGGCTGCGTAACATCTTCTTGCCATATCTTGCATTTCATATCTTCCCCCACGCTGCCAATGTGCTGGCCAGTGAAAGGTCCATTCCAAGTCGCCTAAACAGCCTATCGTCAACACAAAGCAAGTTTCTGCGGTCGGTGTTAAGACAGCTTACATCGCGGATTTCCGCGTCATGGGCGCGCCATGTATCTACTAATCGCCATTCCCCGTCTTTCTGGTCCCAAACCTTCATGCGGTGGTCGGTCGAAGCCGTTAGGATGCGATTGCCATAGAAGTTGAATTTGGTCACTGACACCAAGTCACGATGACCGGCATCGAAATCCGCGAAACCCGACATGGATGTGGTATGCGAACCCGGGATTTCAACCCCAATTAGATGGGCGAAACAACCAGCCTCACAGCCACCGCCCTTGACACAGGATGAGACACGTCGACAGTCAGCTGGGAGCTGGAGGGGTAGTAATTCAGGGTTGGGGGGAGTTCTGCTGATGCTTTTTTTGGCCTATCCATGCGTCTCCGATAGCTCCCCTTCTCCAATTGTACCAGATAGGACATGCATGTGAAGCACTGGGATTGTTGGGATCGCAGCTGGTTTGTCACTCAGTCATCCATTCATTGATTACCTAACACATTTGTTATCTGATGCGCATGTGCCTGAGCCGCTCAGACCGCCTTCTTCAGGTCACCAGGCGGTGGAGTTACGTCGGCAAAACGAGATGCGTCGTACGCCTTTCTCCACCATTCCCTAATGCCACCTTGCCATTCTTCGTAGTCTTTTTTTTTTTCTTAACACATGCTGGAGACTCGTCAATCTCGATTCCTGGGGCTGTGAAGCCGGTATGCTGGTACTGTCTCGCGCACGATGACTTCAGTCAATTCGAGCTCTCTCTCCCACCATGAGGCCTGGCGCCTCTTCCTCTTGGTGGCAGTATGCGTCGGCATCCTGTCCAATACGTTTCAAGGCGAAGGGGCACCCCTGATCGCGTCAATTGCCTTCAGTGGCATTGCATTTGCAGTGACATTTAGTATGATCCGTTGGCTCGGGCCTACTTTCCTTAAAGCAGGGCTGAAGGGGAAGGATATGGCCAAACCGAATAGGCCCGAAATGTATGTGCTTCTATCTGTTCGCCGATCACTGTACAATGGTCGCGAACGTGTTTTTGATCAGAATCATGGTGATTAATGTGTTCACGGCTCAGCCCAGAGACCATGGGAGCTGTTTGCTCCATTGTATATCTCCTTGCGCTCATCTTCTTCATCCCTTTCGCATTCTACAAAGATATCGTGGCAGCGACCTCCGGGGGAGGTAATCGCGATGTTGTTATTGAAACCCAACACGTTGAGCATGGTCGCATGCTACATCGGTTCCCTCATGGAAAGGTTTGCCACTCTCCATAGCAAAGGACGCCATCTGTATGCTAATAACCAAATCAATAGCTTGCCTCCTACCTCTCCGGGTTGCTCTCTCTTCAATGCATTGTTATTCTCGGGATTGGCGATGACTTGCTCGACATTCGATGGCGGCATAAAGTTCTCATCCCCGCCTTTGGTGCGATTCCAATGCTTATCGTATACTTCGTGGATTTTGGGGTCACGCAAGTGGTTGTGCCCGTTCCTCTGCAGCCCTATCTGGGACCGTTCATTGATCTCGGATGGCTGTATTACGTGTACATGGCTGCTGTGGCCATCTTTTGTCCCAACTCGATCAACATGTTGGCGGGGGTCAACGGAGTGGAGGTTGCCCAGTCGCTCGTGATAGCAGTCTTGCTGATTGCGAATGACGCACTGTACCTTGCGCCGGTGACGCCTTACCCGCATCCTGCGACTGACTCGCATCTGTTCTCGCTGTACTTTCTCTTGCCATTTCTCGGAGTATCTTTGGCCCTTCTATGCCACAACTGGTACCCCTCCAAGGTCTTTGTCGGGGATACGTACTGCTATTTTGCAGGAATGGTCTTTGCTGTTGTCGGCATTCTTGGCCACTTCAGCAAAACACTGCTCCTCCTGTTCATCCCGCAGATCTTTAACTTCGTATATTCCACCCCCCAGCTGTTCCATCTGATCCCATGTCCACGCCATCGCCTACCAAAATTCAATTCCGTGACCGGGCTGTTGGATGCATCCGTGACGGAATGGTCGGTACCGCCTGCGCCACTGATCGCCGCCGCATTGGAACTCCTGCACAAGCTGCGCCTGGTTCGCGTCACCAGAAACGAGAACGGTCAAATCGTGCAGTCCACGAATCTCACTATTCTCAACCTGTGGCTCGTTTGGATGGGTCCAATGAGGGAAGATCGGCTCGCATTGAGCATGGTTGGTCTGCAGACTGTGTGCGGGCTATTAGGGCTTTTTGTGCGACACCGTTTAGCTCTGCTTGTTTTCCGCGAGGACAACCGGGCGTTCAATTATGTATAGATGCCGCTGAGCTTCGACTTGTATAGATAGGTACCGGTTTCGAGCATAGACTTATTTATAGCCCTTGGGTCCACTATCCAAAAAAGTAAAGAATGTACGTACAAGTAGTCTATGAGTAGGTAGTAGGTAGTAATGAGATTTCTTCAGATCAGATACGATACGCCGATACACTAACTGACCGCCCGACCCACAGTGACGGCGCAAAAGAGCTCCAAACTCGAAACTGGATCGGCCCAGAATTCCCAGCTGGCCGGACGCCCGACGGGATCTAACCAGAACCTTCACCAGCCTTGCCCTCTTTTGGTCGAGTAGCGCCGTTCATGGTGTAATCCATCGTCACCGGATATGATGCCATTCCCAGGGAGTCAACTCCATACTACACAGTAATGTACTAGGTATAAACACCGCACCTATTCTTTGCAACTGTAATGAGATATTTTAGAGCAATGCTGCATGTCGGGCATAATGTTTCGCCTAAGAGTCATTCCTACATGACGGAGTCATTCATTGCTGCAGTGGGAATTTCGAATCAGACTCGGTCGGTTAGTCATACTACCGTCGCTAACCGCCCCCGCCCCCGACATCGGACTCCACTACCCCCCAGAAAATTCGGTCCCGTCCAATCGGCAAAGGGCCATTGGGTGCTGACCACCGAGACCGGCGTTGCCCCTCGAAAGGCGGCGGTGCGACATCGCGGCGGGCGCTGCTGTTAAAACCATCTCTTGTCTCTTCTTGTTCCTCTGCTCATCAATCAATCATCCTTCACATTCGTCTCGCGTGCCTTGTGCAAGCTATCTCTACTCTCACCCTCCTCATCCAGCTGCACAATAACCCCCCCCCCCCCCTTTTCCTTGAATATCTCTCTCAATCCTCGCCCCTCATGCCCGGCGTCGACAAAAAACCCAAGACCTTGTATGACAAGGTCCTGGACCACCACATTGTCAACGAGCAGGAAGATGGCACCCTCCTGATCTACATCGACAGACACCTTGTTCACGAAGTGACATCCCCACAGGCCTTCGAGGGTCTCGAGAACACCGGTCGTCAAGTCCGCCGGCCGGACTGTACTCTGGTGACCGTTGACCACGTACGTTGACTCCTTTAACACCCGGTGATGCATGGTAAAAGCTGACTGGGATGCTCTTCTGCAGAACATCCCTACTTCCTCCCGAAAAAACTTCAAGAACGTCGAAGAGT